TGCTTACATTCCATCCTGGTGTAAGCTTAGTTTTCTTTCAATATTCTTGTAATAATTTATTCGTTTGTGGTTAGTGCCACATGCCTAATATTTACCATATTTTACGTCCAATACTAGCCTTCATTAAAGTAGATATTAATGTGGTTATTTTTCCCAATCACGAATGTAACAATGTAAGATGACTGATAAAAGATAAATAATGAAGCTGTCTTAACGTTGCCCCTCATGAAACTCTTTGGTCATCAGTAATCAAAGCATGCCTGAAGTAGCCCATACGTTATCATGGTCCTAGGGTTTCTCCTCAAATGAACTAGAACTGTAAAGTGGTGAGCCTATTAAAGTGTCCACTATGTGACTGCTGATCTTACTTCAATAGACACCAGCTGTAAAAGTTATCAAATTTGAAGTTAATTAAGTGACCAATACTGAGAAATGTTTATCAGCCAGTTCTGTGACATCACATTTTTTATTTCAAAAGTTGCTTTCGTGCATGCACAATAGGAGGAAAAAAAAACAATCGACTACATGCACTGAACAAATATTTCCTTTAGCGTGTATACTGTGGTCTCAGAGAATTTATTTCTTCAGTCTTCTCAAGTGAACTTGAGATTAAACAGTGAATTTGAGATTATAAGCCACAGAAGAAAATTGCCTTTTGTTACTGCTTTGTCTTCAGTCAAGTTTGTTGGAGGCATTAGAGGGAAAAAATCTCCGTAGTTTTCGTAGGAAGTCACTATGTACATTGTATGAAAGGTCATTACTGTCTCCTTACTGGTTACATTATCATGAGAACCAATAAGACTGAATATTGATCATCATGCAGGTTAAAACATCCATCAATCAGAGCCTTGGGGATCAGATCCTGACCTTAACTTCTGCATAGAAGTGATGATTATCAAAAAGGTTTTCTTCACTTTCCCTTTTTGCATTGTGTAATCGCCACTTTGAGGCTCAAGTTTGTTTGGGGAGAATAACAAATGAAAACCTCCTGAACCAAAGTACCCTCTATTAATGATTGATTTAACCCATTCGCTCCTGGAGATTTTGCCGAAAAACGCATTTTGAAGCTAGTCGAGTGGCTTGATTTTGGTGGCAAGAGCTTTTAGGAAAGCTTTTAGGATCTTAGGATTAGGTGAAAGGAAAGGTAGGTGGGTAATGGAACAAGATTTTCATGGAGATTTTCAGGTCAATGTCAAGTGGTTTTTTGCTTGTTTCTCCGGTGTCCTTGACTGAATTGTGCTCATTCTGGTATGGTTTGAAAGATCTCTTCACTCTGTACAAATTAGCGAAGAAAGTTGTCCTTGACCGTTAAAATTGATGACGTCACAATGGGTAGAAAGGACCTGGATCCACACGGGCGGTTCAGGGGCGAATGGGTTAAGGAACATTTTAAAATAAAATAAGGAAAGTTTGAGAAATCAGAGTCCCCTGTTAAAATGCAATTACATGAAAGTTTATGAGTCAAAGTTTCCAAATAATTTTTAGTGGTGTAGTGCAGTTTTAGTCGCTTTTGTCCCAATAAAGGCACTTTTAATCTAATTCATGATGCTTTTTCATACAAGTGAAAATTGTTTTATATATGCACTTCTCAGTGCTTTGTCCCAGTGATAGTAATTAAGTTTAATTACACTGCAATGTAGAAAATAGGTAGTAGACTACAAACTACACACTATTACACATGAATTCCATGGTATTCTTTTTTTACTTGTAGTTATTTGGCATTATTATTAGTATATGTTTGATGGGTTAATCATGAAATCTACTTCGGTTGTATGGGATACATACTGTACATGTATATTTAACACAAAAAGTTGAACTGTTTTGCTTTATTTTGGTTAATCAGACACAACTGCAAGTAAATCACCACAGTTCAGCTGATTGGACAAAATACGACGAGCGTTTAATTGAATGTGTTGAGAGTGGAGATTTGGAGAAACTCAGGTAATTGTGTCCCATTCCTGTTTTTACTCTGCACTTGTTACCTTTTGGTGTTAGTTAAATTCTCAAAAAATAGTAATGTTCACAGTTAAAACGGTAGAAAATTATGATAACTGTAGATTTACTTAATTTAATTTCTAAAGCAAAAAATTTTAGATATTCTGAAACTTTTTTTTACTTAAAACACACACGGGAAGCTTATTGAACAAAGTAGTTTATTAGCCTGCGTGGCAGGTGCAAAAAGGGGAAGGGGAGGGGAGAGGGAGAAAAGTGCGAAAGCGGGCAAAAGGGAAGGGAGCGCCTGCTATAAGAGCCGGTGTTTTTGTATTCCACCCATCATTTTCTGAACTGATCTGATAATGCCAACTGTCAACTGGTATGTGACCAATCACAAGTAGGGGGCTTCTCAGCATGGTCCAAACTTATTAAATTACTTTGTTTACCAGAAATTGTCAAGTTGAGACGCTTTTTTCAAGTGATATCATAGTCAGTCGAAATAAGACATTTTACTTTTCTTGCTTCCGCACCAAACACAGCAAGCATAGACTACAAGCAGTCTGTCTCTTTTTTTACAGCTCGCAGTTTACTACAAACAATGATCATTTTCGTGTGAATACACTTGACCTTTGGTCTTACCTCATTAAACACGATGGTCACAAACATTACAGTTTCCAGCCTTAGACGTGAATAATGAAAGGAGAATTATAAACAATTGTCAAAAAGCTCAAACAGATAGTTTTTACCAAAGCTACAGCTCTCTCTCTTTGCAAACCATTTATAGAAGTTCATTCGGCACGGAATATGTTTTTGTGGAAAAGCTTAAGGTGGTCTTCTGAATATCGGCATCGCAGATGTCTGCCAAAAATTCGCAATCACTTTGAATCACCGCTCGGTGTTTTGGACACGGCTCGACGTTGCCACCTGTGGGGTCACCAATGCGACCAGCTTTTACACATTGGCGACTAAATACAAATTTTCACACCTGGTCGCAAACCTGGCCCCCAAGATAGGTGACTTTCTTCTTTGGGAAAACATACACTAGTGATAATTGTTATTCTTTACAAAACTAACGGATAGTAAATGGTTTTTCTAGCGCTCTAACCTTTTGTCTAAACGCTTTGATGGTTTGTTTAAATGTTGTAACAATTTTTCTAAATGCTTTAACGATTTCTTCCAACACTCTAATGGATTGTTCTTATGATCTAACAGTTGGTCCGTCTAACACCTGACTTTTACTTGAAAGAGGATTGTGAAAATCACAAGTGATGAATTCGACGGAAGTCTTATTGACTTTCAGGCAAATCGATCGCAATTCTCAACAGGTTGTCCCATGTTTCTCCGGAAATAACTTTTAGTGCATCGATTTAAAACCATTTCTTTATGTCGAACATGTATCTCGTTTCACAGACTCGATAACAGATTAGTCTGATAAAAGCTTAAGCTAATCGAGAACGAATGGCACTTATTTCTCGAGCTTCTTGTAAACAACTTTATGCAAGTTTCTGTTGAGCGTGACTACCGAAATAGAAGCTGTGCCGTTTTTTATTGACTTCTAATGAAGTATAGTTAAACTCATGCCGTTTGCCTAACGAACTTCTCGCGAAATCAACTTCTTTGCCCGAAAACATTAGCGACGTTTCCCCTTTCTGGAGACTTTCGATCATGTGCTACACAACCGCGAAATCAAGTTTCACCGATGTTCATTTCTGAACATGCAAATACATGGGACGCAAAACAAATTTTGCAGATTTTGTTCTTTAATAACCCAAATAAGTTTTTTTTGTGATTCCTAAAGTTTGTTTATCTAAATGTGTATTCCATTTCCTAAACGTTAATCTTGGATGCCTGTTTGACGAGATTTACGCTTGAGTGCGGGCTCATTTTCCCGAACACCGGCTGGAAATCAAGCTTCGAGCGAAAACTGTTCGAAAGAAAGTTCAAAGGAAGTCTAAAGCACTCTTTTTGTGTTAAGGCTAGGTAAAAGATGTCAAGTTTACTGTGTTTTATTAGTTCTTAAATTTAATTTTTGGCGACTAGAAGACTTGGTCTGGCGACCAAAAATGAAAACTTGGGGGCCAGCTGGCCCCAACATTTTTTTCTGAAAGTCAAGCACTGTTGGACATATTCAGTATACAAAACCTCCTGAGTATCTCTGCCTGCCAAACAAGCTATTAACGTGAAGTTGCTACATGATTGGAGTAATTTTGATCTTCCATTGCTTAAGCCAGTAGAACACATTTCCTTGATGCCTTCATCATGTTTGTCTCTCACACTAACGCATGCCAGGATACACGCCAATAGGTTACTCATTACAACTCAGCCAATCAGGAATTTGCAGACGCCAGCGTCCGCAGAAATGAACAAAAGGGAGTTCTTATAGCAGGCGTCCCTTCCCCTCTCTCCCCAATCCCCCTCCCTTTTTCCCTTCCTCCCCATCCCCCTTTCGACACCTGCTACGCAGGCTAGTAGTTTATGTAGAGCTCTGAGCAGCAACCATTCATTGATAATTTATGTTACTGCATAAGTACCATCGCTGTTATCAAGTGTTCAAGCTCTTGGGCATGGTCCAATGTGGGTGCAATCTATGGTTTCACAAGCTCATTTTAACAGTCACTTACAGTTATTACATGTAAAAACATGTACATCAGAAGTCCATCAGGGTTCCTGCTTTGCCAAACCTTTGAGCTTAGGCTTCTGGATAATTATACAGTTATTTTCATCAGAGTTGTTTGTAGGATACCGTCATTGTCCTGCACTTATCTTATTGATTGTCTAGTATTGAAGTTCAAACTGTGGCTTTTCAGGGGGGAAGTGGGATCTAGGAGGCCTATTCTGAGAAAGGAGACTTAATGCATTTGTCAATAGGTTTTCCAAGAGAGAGTTATTTATATGGGAGATTATGATACAGTAAAACCCTAGTAACTCGAACACGCATTTCTCATTTCCCTTGGATTTGACCCCACTGTCTTTTTTCAGTCGTTTTTACTCGGTTAACTCAAACTCAGATTACATATAGTTGAATTCCTCACTAACTTGAATTAAATCTTGTTTCTCTTGACTTGAATTTCCCCAGTAACTCAAATTCTGGTTCTTTCAATTCACCACGGATGCCATCCCATTAGCTCCTTTGTCCTGTAATCTGTTAAGACTCTAAAATTTGCAGTACAGCAATTTGGTTTTGACAATTTCTGCAAAGAACAGGTCAAGTATTTGATAGTCATTCCCGACCTTGTGAGTCATACTGGCTTATTAGAATAATAATATACACGAAAAAATTACTCAGTTCTGATTGGCTGAAAGGAGTGTTCTTTTGTAACAAGAGTGCAAACTTGTAACACAAATGCAAATTACAACTGGTTTCTGATTGGCTAGAAACACAAAAGAAACCACTAAGAGCCAATCAGATTAGAGCTGTTTTAACAACAAAATTTAAGAAACTGGCCCTGGTTTTCAGCAAACAATGATTTGATTTTGTATGCAAAACAACAATAGAAAAGTTAAAATATATTCCAAAAACTCGAACACAGTAAAAAGTACATCTTTCTGGCTAAATGTATTGAAAATGTGGTGCTAAGAGAAAATTACTGTCAACAAAATTGAGGAAAATGAGCCAGAGAAACTAAACAAGCTACTTATAACAGACTACGCTTAACCCATTCGCTCCTGGAGATTTTGCTGAAAAATGCGTTTTGAAGCTAGTCGAGTGGTTTTCTGGTCACTGTCATGTTAGTAAGAGCTAAAACATACCACAAACCCGTTTACAGGTCGTGCACTTCACGGCCTTCTGATCTCAGCTTGCGAAGTTCGGGCATGCGCAGAAAGCAAAATTTCGAGATTTTCGCTTTCTCTCCTCCCCTCTTTTTTTGCTTTTCTTGCCTCATTTTTTTTTTCTCTTGCTGGGCATTTAGTAGGCTTCATTTTGGTGGGAAGAGTTTTTGGGAAAGCTTTTAGGATCTTAGGATTAGGTGAAAGGAAAGGTAGGTGGGCAATGGAACAAGATTTTCATGCAGATTTTCAGGTCAATCTTACATGGTTTTTTGCCTTTTTCTCTGGTGTCCGTGACTGAATTGTGCTCATTCTCATATGGTTTGAAAGATCTCTTCACTCTGCACAAGTTAGTGGAGAAAGTTGTCCTTGACCGTTAAAACTGATGACGTCACAAGGGGTAGAAATGACGTGGATCAGCACGGGCGGTTCAGGGGCGAATGGGTTAAGTAAAAAATAAAGAACAAAAATGGTGGCAACCATGATAGCTACACTGTTCAGGCATTTAAATGAATGTATACATGTTTTCCATGATAACAACAGATGTACATTATTTCTTGGAGGAGAAAGGTGTCCTGTTGTTCTCTTTAAGTCTTTTGTCGAGCAAAGACCTCTATTAAAACATCCATGCAGTGGTCTGTTTTTTTTCCTACCTCAGTAAGCAAACAAAACCAAAAATTTTAGCATCTAGTTCAAACTTAAACCAATGGGGGAAAATACCATAACCAACATAATGAAAGTATCGGTAGTTGGTTCTAGCCTTAAAGAAAGTGAGAAAAAAGTTTACGAATCATAGTGCAAGAAAACAACAGTCAGCAAGTTGAAGAAAGCAAAGATTGTAAGTTCAGAATAATATCGCCAATGTCACAGGCCAAAGAGGTATAAATTTCCTAAATGAATACGATGAAGCTGACGAAGAAGAGCGGCCATGACTCTCCGTCTTGCAATAGGCCAAATGAAATGATGAAAACCCCAGCGCTGAGAAAGAGCAAATATTATATTAACTGGCAGTTTCCAACATCACAACAACTGTGGCTCCACTCACCCATCAATAGCAGCGGCGATGGAAAACAAATTGTCTCCTTCATTTTCACGTTTTAAATCTCAATGATTTATCCATGAATCCAGCTATGATAGGGTCTCAGGAAAAGACGATGATGAACAGTTGTTAAGCAACTCAGCAAGTGTCTTTCATCTTTGGCTGCTCGAAGCTTTCTCCTGATTTCAAAACAGCAGTATACTTCTTGTAAACACTTCTTGTAAACGCCGAGCTCTCATAATTGAGGATGAATTTAAAAACACTGACTTTTGCTGATTGTTGTAAACCAAGTTATCTTTAACAGGCTGGTGACCATGTAAAATCAATCCATGCACATTTCCAAGTTCTTAGCTGAATGATTTTGAAAGCGTTGGTTTTGAAAAAGTTTGAATTTGACAAAGGTAGTAATCTGTTTTAGCTAATCAGTGGAATGAACTGAAAAATAATGTGCTCACTGTCAAAATTAATAATGTTGTTGTAGTTACGTTTTTCTTGTATACTATTAATAAGTAATCACATGATTTTTCTCGTGCAATTTGGAATAAATAAGGACTTGTAAATTTTTCAAAGACTACAAAGGGCACTCACCCTACGAGCTTGTGCACTTTTTTTGGACTTTTAAAAATTTACTCGTGCTTATTTATTCCAAACTGCACTCGAAATCATGCAATTACCCATACTAATGATGCATAAATTAGTGTGTTAAACTTTCTGTTGAGTTAAGTTTAATTTGCACTGCACTGTATACTGAAGTACTG